GACAAAAGCAGAACTTTGAGAGGAGCTAGTACAGATGAACCTGCTTCTGATATCTAGTCACAGTAAATCTCCCCCAAAAAGTTATTTAATCTCAAGTTACAAATACTCATGATGCATATGTTCATTGTGATTTATACCTTCAAAGACTCCCAAATGAATTCAAAGTGTTTTGCTAAAAATACAAATAGGTACTCTGAACATTAGATGAGAATAAAAAAACTGGGTAATGAAATGAGAAGGTGAATTATTAAAAAGTGGACACATGAGAATAAACATATCAATTGAGAGGATGTGTACTGAGTATATCAAAATTCCATGATAAACCTTTTCCTAGCTAAGCTCCAGAAGGAAAGGGGAAAGGAGTTCTGTTGTATAGGCTATTAAACTATTTAACGGGAAATATTTTGAATAGCAATTTGAAAATGCAGAAATGTTCTTTTATGTCAATTATATCAATGTTCAAAAACAAAACAAACAAACAAAAATAACCAACAGCTACAACAAAAGAGCCCAGTGTGGTGGCACATGCCTGTAATCTCAACACTCAGGAGGCAGGGGAAAGAAGATTGCCATGAGTTCAAGGCCAGCCTCAACTACAGAGTGAGCTCAAGGCCAGCTTGAACTACTTAGCAAGACCCTGTCTCAAAAAAAAATAAAATAACCATCAATTTTCAGCATATATAGAGAGTATATTAAGTTATATTTTGTAAAGGTGTTCCATGGTGGAATTAAAGTAATGTCATTAGTAAAATAAATTATTAGAATGTGAAAAAAGACTGAATAACAGTTTTACATTGAGGTCCCTGGTAAGTGTGTGAAGTGGCCTTATGTTTCCTTATTGATGAGGAGAGATTCATGTGAATTGTCTTCTGTACCTGTCCACAGAAAATCTGACCTTTGTTATCAAAATTAATGATGATGTTTTCTTAACTGAATGAAGAAGAAATGGTATCTATAGTCAAGTCCAAAGAATTTCTAATTTTAGTATATGTGCTGCTGAAGTAAGCCAAATCCAAATTCTAAGAATTTCTTAGAAACAAATGTAAACATGTTAAAATTCTTCAAAAAGTTTTTTGAAGATACCCTGCTTCCCCCAATAGAAACAAATAAGAAAAATTATAATCTGATATTAAGGTGATAAAAGTATGACATTCTAAAAGTAGTTAAGCTTGAAGAATGCTCAATTTTTATACTTTCTTAAATAGTACTGACTGATGTCCTTCCCTAAAAAACTTGACATTTAAATATATAACAAATAAGTTATTAAAATAAACACAGAAATTAACTCCCCTAAAATCTTAGCCAGTCTGAAAACATATTGTAAAATACAATGTTTCGTGATATTATTTTCAAGAATTTAGTTCACTACTCCCAGGGCAGATGAGGTGAGCCACGTGGGTGCCAGCAGCAACACCCCCACTACCCTGTGGAAATGAGAAGACACATAAACAAGCCTCAAAAGTAGACTTCCAGATTACCTACAGCAACCCCAAAGGGAAACAAGATGGAACAATCTGATAATCAACCACCTGGACTCTCTGAACTGGCGACAAAAGAGGATCTGG